TTCCTTCCTTCCTTCCTTCCTTCCTTCCTTCCTTCCTTCCTTCCTTCCTTCCTTCCTTCGCAACCCCCCACCCTCTGTATTTGGTCTAGCAAGCTTCAGGGAAGCCTGCTGGGAGCAAAAACTGACCCACCCCCTTGTTTCCGGAGAACCTGTAAAAAAGATGTTTTAAAAGTAAAAAAAAAAAAAGCTCCGAAGCTCAGCTGTGCAATCGTCGGAATGGGTTTTTAAAAAAACTTTAAAAGTATTTTTTACTACCAGTTTGGGTGAACTGGGCCGAAGCAGAAGCATTTCACCCCTGGAAGAAACATGTGACAGTAGCTGTTCCCTTCCTGAGGACCAGCGCCTGCAAGCCTGTGTTTAAAAAGGCAACTGGGGTTGCACAATCTGGCTTGGAGAACCCTTTGAGGCCCCAGGGATGCAACAGCAGAGCCCTCCCTAAAAGATGGGCCCCATGATGGTGGGACCAGTATCCACCTCAAGGCAAAGACAGTTTCATCAAATGAGGTTGCACCCTCCCAGCCCCCCACTTTGACTCAAGCTTGGAGGAGGACCTGATGGCAGTAACCCCCCCCCCCGCCCCAAGTTTTTAAACTACAAAGCATTCTGAGCTCTTTGGCATCTTCAAGAGGGGTGGTGGTGGCTCACCTGTCTCAACTTTATTTCACAGTTTGCAACAGGTGTATGCCAAGTTTGGGTCTTCATTACCTTGAATTTGAACATATAAAGTAAAACTTATCTGTTGTGGTGAATTCCCCTATGGCTGTGATGGCGAACCAATAGCACGTGTGCCAGAGGTGGCACACAGAGCCCTCTCTGTGGGCACGGGCGACAAAACCAGTTGCTCTTTGCAGGCAACAGAGCACAGGAAAATGGCCCAAAAAACTGCCAAAAAGAAGGCCATTTGGGGGCAATTTTCTCTAGGCTGTTTTCAGGCTGTTTTCCAGGCCAAAAAACTGGCATGTGCACCAGCCAGCTGGTCTTCAGTTTCAGGTGCTCCGGCATGCGCACATGCGCTGGCGTTCTGGTTGGGCACTCAGTGATGAAAAGGTTCGCCATCACTGCCCTGTGGACTTGGGCAGGGGACGGTTTATAAATGTCCTAAATCAATCAAGGATTTGAAGCTGCTTAACCCTTTCCTTTCCTGACCATTGAAATCTAGACTTGGAAAGGTCTTTCTCCTCCTGCAGCCTCTCCTGGCTGGGTCTCCTTGGAAGACCAGCGAGCAACAACATCAATCAGTCTCAGCCATCGGGAGGAGGAGGAGGAGGAGGAGNACGTGCGCGGCCGCGCAGGCGCGCACCTTAGAGGGAACAGTGCTGTCTGGCCCCTAAGGTACCAACTGCCTCCCAAGCAGATCCACCCGGCTAGGTTTGGTTGCCTTCTGGTGCCACCTGGGCTCACTTACCAGTAATAGAGGCTGCTGGGCCCAATGAGGAGTAAAGCAGCCACAGGGATTCTCGGCTGTTGTTCTTTGCAAGGTATGAAGCAGCCAGAAAAATATATGCACAGAATGAGAAAGAAGGGGATGTACCTGTGAAAAGAACAACATTGCAAGAGGTTGTGAGGGACAAGGTGGAAAAGGGCCTCCTGCTGTTTTAAGAGCTCCTTTCAGTTCTTCTGGCTTGGCAAGTGGGCAAAGTAGCTGCTTAATGGCCTGGAGAGACATTTTAGAGAGCCTGGAAGCCCTCACCCTCTTTCGACCTAATAAAAATACTACTTGGTTCCTCAGTGTCTACATCCTTGAGTACCTCGTGTTCTTCACAGTGTAACCAAGCTGTGAGAGAGCCCGATCTTTTCCCCTTCACCATCTTTACCCCTCAGAAGTACCCAGCCACTTTGACTGGACATGTGAGCCAGAACAGGAATCCTGCCAGCCTACAGTAACCATAAACCTCTTCTCACTTGTAAGAAGAGAGCCCCCTTTCATCTTTGGGGGCAAAAAATAACCTGGAGGAGGGTAGGGGGAGCCTTTTCTGAGCAACCTCGTTTATAGTCCAAGACATATGGATGGCTTTGATGAAATTTGCTGGTCAGAAAAGGCGCTAGCACAATATTTGTCAATCTTATCAGCTTGAAGATGTTGACTTCAACTCCCAGAATCCTCTAGCCAGCAGAGCTGAATGGGGAATTCTTGAAGTTGAAATCCACACATTGTCAGACCTGCCATCTTCAGCTTAATGCCTAGCTGGCATCCTGCCATAAGTTGTTAGGGAAAGGGGGGATGGGAAGTAAGCAATGGGTGTATAGAAGGTAGAAGTGAGGAAGGGGGAGGTGAGAACTGGCTGATTCCAGCCTTCAAGGCTGCGGAGCTTGGGAAAGGAATGTGAATTGTACCCAGTGACATCACATATTCAAGCGGTTCTCAAAACACCTATACGGAATGCCATTGGACGAAGACAGACCAGTCCAAGGTGTGTGTGGGGGAGGGCCAGGGAGAAAGGGGAAATGCTGTAACATTTCACGTGGGAACTTTAGTTCTAGCCTTCCTTTATTTGCCAACCACTAATCCTTAGTAAAAGAACCTATCACTTCAATCAAGTGAAGTTGAGGGTCTCTCTAACCTAGGGACCTAAATGGGCTAAGCTTGACACACGGCTTCAAGCTACCACGGTTGAGAAACATTGTACTAACAGATTCCTCCTGACGCCTGAGAAGAGGGCTAGAAGACCTCCAAGATCCCTTCCAACTCTATTATTATTCTAATTCTTGGTCATTATTTACTTATTTATATGAATGCATTTATTAAATGTACCTCCAATCTACCCAAGGAAAGCAGGGCAGCATCAGGTGGCACAAAACCCTCAGACAACAAACAAATATTACAACAAACCAAATGCATGGAAACAAGGCAGCCAAACAGACCAATATTTCAGGCTGTGAAGAAAAGGATCCCAGATTAAATTCCAAGACTTTAGGCTCAGGAATGGTTGATCTTTTTTTGGCCAGTTCTCCTCTTTGTTTCAGAGTAGATGTAATTGTGCATTTTTGTTCTTGGGAAGGGGCTGAATATTTTGCCCTGAAGGATGGCTGCGAAATCTTTTAAGAAGGAAACGAGATAAAGTAACCCTAAAGGGGGTCTAACATGATGAGTGGCAAAGCCCCACGTGGACTCCAAGGGAGGCACCTGAGCTGCCCACCCCCAGCAAATGCCGGCCTCCCTCATGACGCCCAACCGCCCATCTCCCGGGCCTTCTCAGACCACAGATGAGGTCTCCTGCAGCAACAGGGAAAGGGAGCCCGTTACACACCCAGCCCAGACTCACCACATTGAATGGCCCAGGTGCTCATCGTAATAGTACAGCAGTTCAAAGGAATCGATCTGGAAAGGAAGGAAATGGAAGAGTCCAGGGAGCGAAGGGGCCCAGCTGACAGGCAGCAAAGAGCTCTGCTAGCATGGCCGTTTGTGACAGAGAGTCCTCAACTTATGACCGAAGTAGAGCCCAGTAGTAATTTATTGGGGTTATAAATCAAGGCACCACGTGACCCAACCCAATTTTACGATAATTGTTATGATGGCCATAAAGCAGGGCCTCTGCCATTGTTAAACGAATCAGGTGGTCGTAACTGAATCCAGCCTCTCCAATGGCCGTTTTTGTTTTGCCATTTTCTCCTGCAAAAGAGCAAACAAGTCGCAAATTGCAGTCATGCGACCACGGATGCTACAGTTCATCGGTAGCTTTTAAAAAAAATTCTAACTTCCAAGAGTTGTTAAGAGATCAGTCATACGTTGAGGACTATTTGCAGTTAAGTGTTGATTGGGTCCCATTTGTTTTTACTCCCATAAATTGCCCAGAGCTGTCGCTTGGGAGAAATGAGGTACCATATTAAATTATTTGATGTAATAAATAAATAGATGATGAAAGAAAGAAAGAAGGATAGATATAGGATGGATGGATGGATGGATAGATAGATATGGACAGACAGACAGACAGACAGAGACAGACAAGAGTGTCAGGAGTCACAAACAGAGTGATTCAGCCTTTCTCACCAGGGTCTCCGGCTTGAGATTTCTGATGATTGGATTCTCTCGGACGGACAGGTGGAGTTGGTAGCCGCTGAAGATCAGCCGGTGATTGACAGAGTCCCCCACCAGGTGGATACTGGCCCCCATGACAAAGATGATGATGCAGAGATACACCATGGAGCGGGGAAGAGCCTTGGGGGAGCGCTCCATCAGCTGCAAGCAAAACAACCAGTCTGAGGCTGGGGAGCAAAGTCGGCCCCTTCAGCCCCTCCATCAAGTAAAAGCGGGAAACCTCCACCCGCTTTTCCCAAAAGGAATCCCACTCCCACAAAAACAGCCTCTGTAGAACTGTGAATGCCTCGCCCTAAATCCCCTCCTTGGAATAGCAGTATCCCCCCTCCCCGCCCCCACTGCAGAATGGAGGAAGCTCTCGGTGGCCCCTTTTCCTCTTAGACTGGTGTGACAACCCCGTTTAAGGGGGATGCGATGGAGAAGCTGCTGACCCAGGGCTGCCCTAGAGATCACACCAGCCCCATTCAGCCCCTCTGTGTAAAGTACCCTAATGATGCCTGCTTCATAATAAGCAACCTGATCTTGTAATACAAAAAGCAGTGATTTATTAACAGCTTCCTTAGGTATTCTTCCTTAGGCATTTCTTATTCACAGCCATCTTTTTTGCTTTCTTTATCTGTTTTTAAACTTTGCCCGTGTTTCTGTCCTCCCTTCAGTCTGTCATAAATCATGTTATCCAATAGCTTCATTCATCTCAACCCAGCTACTGTAATCTGAGATCCGGCTCCACCGATGCTCTGCATGGAATGTCAACAGAGAGTTGACACTCTGCTCTCTTTGGCTTTTGTCAACAGAACGGCCACAGGTCCCATCATGATGAGTGAGGGACAGAGGTCTAAATGGCAACCTCCTCTCCCCTAGGTCTTATTCCACGACTCACTCGACCATCTTGGATTAGTCATGAGGAAGAAGGAGCCTGGCTGAGCTACGTGGCCCTTGCTCCCAGCAGCAAATCTTGCAACCCCTCCGGTATCTGTATGAAAAGGGAAGTGTGGCCCCCAAGTTATAGGGCAAAGTACAAAGTAAAAGCATAACAGTTCCTAGAGTTCACACTGGGAAGGAAAAGGAAAGCAATCCCACCCACAGATGTGTCTCCTAACCCTAATCCAACATCCCTCATTTTCCAAACATTTGGGAAGAAACCAGTGGTGAAATCTAAATTGTTTTACTACCTATTATGTGGGCATGGCTTGGTGTGTGTGTGTGTGTGTGTGTGTGTGTGTGTGTCTGTCTGTCTGTCTGTCATATGACTGGGTGGGTGTGGCTATGTAGTCATGTGACTGGGGGATCAAAAGACAGAAACTCACTTTAATAATGTCCTGCTAGAGCAAGGTTGGACTAGATGACCTCCAGGTCCCTTCCAG